ATTTGGGCGTCGTCTTCCCTTCAGACACGGCCATGGCGATCGCGGGATTACTAGGAGATGTCGCGGGCGTTCCTGAATGTTGCAGGGAATAGCCGAACGCTCGGAACCTTTAGTTTCCCTCCCGCATAGCTAAATTGTGGGGGAGGGGCTATGACGGCATCTTCCATATCTTGGAGTGCGTCTTTCTTCTGACTCTGCAATTCTTCATTAGAGGAAATCATTGTGTCGATGATATCAGAGGTGAATGCTGAATGACTAGCTAGTCGTCCTTGGAAGAGCTCGTCTGCGAGCTGCAGCCTGCGTTTGGGTGGCTCAGTCAAGCTCCACTTTCCAGGCAACACAGGCGCCATCCTGCACCCTCACCTCTCTCGTTGACTGATATCCGCGGACGCCAGGCAGCGTCTCACAAGCCATCTAGTCTGCCAAGAACCTGTAGAAGCAATCTGAGCTCAGGTAGGGCCGCCAATCGCTCTGGCTTTTCTATTTCTTCTCTTACACAACTTCATCGCTGGCTTGGGCGTGATTGCCTGGATTGAGCCTTTCCGTGAATACTGTCTCGCACAAACAGGGAAATTGCGTCAAGCACGATTATCAACACGTCTCACCTATTTACAACGTAATACACAGCTGCTCAAGACTTACAACATTAAAGCTTTCCGCGTTACTACCGATCTGCACTGCGCCGCAGCCCGCTCGCTCAACCACCGGCCTCAATCCGACACGCACCTGCAACAACGCCAAATATTCCGTAACAACACCAGTTTGTTGGCTCCCAGTACCTGACAAGCTATCAAAAGCGCGCCAACATGCCGAGGCGGCACTTCCAGGCCGACCTTCAAAAGGCCGCGGATGGCGTCTCGATTGCGGGCATCTCAAATGTACGCGCTGGTGGCGACGACGGCGAGTTCACATTCATGTGCATTGCAGATGGCGAGCAATTGGAGATCTCAGCCTTGGTTCCAGGTATGTCATTTTCTCGTCGGCGTTCGAACGACTAGCAAGGCACCTCCAGCGGTCCGATCGAGTCAACCAGCATGCCTACGCTGCCTTGGTCGAACATAGCTGACAAACTACACAGAAGTATCCGACTACCCCACTAGCCACACTTGCATGATCTTCGGTGCCGACAATGCCTCTGCTAGTGTCGCTGCCGCCCTTAGCGACATCGCCGATGCTGCCTTTGGGAAGACCGTTCCTCAGATTCTTGAGCTAGTTTCTACTAGACTGGAATCAACCGACCGCGATGGCGACCAGCAGATGCTCGACTCACAGGAGTTTGACGATTTCGACGAGGATGACGACGAAGAAGAAGAAGAAGAAGAAGAAGACGAGTACTTTCCTGGTGACGAAGACATGATGCCGAAACCGCAGCTCGCAAACGGTAGTAGCGCATTCCAGGGTGGTGGCCATACGGAAGCTACATCTGCCTTCCGACAACGAATCCGGAGTGATCTCTTAATCGCCAAGAGTGAAGGATTCAAGGTTGGACATCTTGGAGGCTTGATGGATGGCCTTGGTTGTTTTGTCTCTCTTTCTATCCGCATCTCCAAACTCGGCATCTCGGAAGAGGCTATGCAAGCATGGCAAATTGAGCCGACAGAGTACCTCGTCGCAGCCTTCCAATATTCGTCAGGATACAAGAGCATGGACGACTTGAGGTCTTACGATGCGCAGCAAGCTCGACGAAGCTTCGGTATCCGTGTCGGCGTTTGTACGACATATAAGCCAACAATGCAAGAAGCGATATCAGCTTTCACAATCTTGAGCAAGGATGAAGAGAAGCAACGGGAAGATTCGCAAGGCGACTCCCAGAATATCTCGTCAGGACTTCCCAAAGGCTTTCGAAACTCATTCATCTCACAACCTCTAAACGAGCTGTTAGAGCAGCGCTTCCACATGCTCCTAAAGTATCGTTACGGAGGCATGCCATGGCAAGGCTCCGAGTCATTTTACAACGACCAGATCCTGAACGCATCACTTACGGATCAGGATGCATCGCAAGACAAGTACTACGAAGACGAGCGGATTAGTGATGCGTGGCCAAAGATTGTTACTGATGACCACATTACCTCTTCGGTTGGCCAGGAGCACTCCCTACCGCTTGTAGGGATGCAATTTGTGCTACGACATTTTGTTCGATGTACCGAGTTCTGTCTGATCTGCTTCAGTAGGATGCCCGACGACCTACAAGCGATCAAGCCTTATGTCTGTGACAATCCGCTATGTCTATATCAGTATATGTCGCTAGGCTTCGGCCCAAGTATCGAGCATGAGATCTTATCACAGCCGAAAGTTGTTGACCTGCTCGTCAGCTTCTGTTACGCTAGTGCGCGTGCAAGCAGGCTTAGGGAATTCCCTACCGGTCTCAGCCTGGCCGTTCCACCTCCAGTGTCCAACGATACGGATTATGTCCAGGTTCAACTACCACGAACCTGGGCATCCCCTGCCGACACTGCACAACCAGTACCTCCGCAAGCCAGTACACCACCACCAGCCGCCTTGAGTATGCGATTCAAAGCTGCCTCTCTTGAGATGCTATTCGATGATGCGAGGCAAACCTGTCCTGTATCGAACGGCCAGTGGATCGTGATTCGAACAGACGATAACCCGAGTAAGACGCTACATTGTCGCGTGATTGATGCGTCACTTTACCCGGCTGTAAAGGTGTCAAGTCCTATCATCCCAGTAATTGGAGGAGGGGTTCCGAACGATCCATACGCTATACCACGCCCAGCTTCATCGCAACAGCAGAAGGTATCGGCTCCACCACCAGGTTCAGATACGGAGTTCAGATCTGCAAGCTTTTATATCTACAACCAGAATTTCGATGACTTGAGTACCCTAGAGAAGCCGCAGGCTATCGCGGCGCTGCTTGATCTCTTACCACCTGTTCAAGAAATGAGGAAGTATCTTCTGCGGAAGTCACAGTCTACCTTGAATACTTGGGTTGATCGTCTACCCCCCGCTGTTCTTGGGATACTGCGCTGGGTGATCGCGTCAAATCGGGCTTGCATTCTACAGGTCGACAGCGAAGAAGACGCATCAAATGGTCGTAGTTCCGAGGAGCGTCTATATGGTATGGCAGGTTGGGCGCAGTTCCGGTTTGCAATGGGTGCTCCTGACAAGGAGCGCCGATTTATCCATGCGGTGCAAGAGACAACCCAGCGGCTTAGCCTCAAATATCCCACTCTATTCGCATGGCATGGCAGTCCTATTTACAACTGGCACACCATCATTCGGGAGGGACTTCACTTCAAGGAAACTGCCCACGGTCGAGCCTATGGACATGGTGTTTACCACGCTCCTGATGTTCATACTAGCTTAGGCTACTCCGCATTCGGTGGCATTTCCTGGACAATGAGCGAGCTGAAGGTCCAACAGACTTTGGCTCTCAATGAAATTGTCAATGCTCCGGCAGAGTTTGTGAGCCAAACTCCGCATCTAGTGGTTGCTCAGCTCGATTGGATCCAGACACGATATCTCTTCATTAAATCACGCGAAGACACTGCAGCAACCACAGAGCCAGGCAACAAGCCGCTTCTATGCGTGGAGCAGGACCCAAGCCGCACGCCTCGTGGTGTAACGGGTAATCTCGTCATACCGCTACATGCTATTGCTGCCTCTCGACGTCCTAAGGCGAAGGCTACCCGGGTAGATGGTACCCTACCTACAAATGGACCTTGGCTGACAGATGCGCAGAGACACAAGCGGCAGAAAGCTTCTGGAAAGACGCAGTACGATCCCATTGAAATTGAAGACGATGACGACGGAGCCAGTATTGCAACTCTCGACGAGGACCGCATCATTTTCGAGGCTGATGACGAACACAAGTCGGTCCAAGAAGTTGACCCTCTTCCCACACCAAACTCTATTATGGGCGACAAGGGCAAGTCGAAGATGGCCTCGATAGCGTCGTTCTCGTCGAAGATCTTTGGCAAGTCATCATCTAGCAAGCCTCTCACCGACTACGTCCCTGGCACCCTGGATTACACAAAACTGCCGATGCTTCAGATGCCTGCATGGGCAACAACCGCTGCTACCAGGCGTTTGATGAAGGACTTCAAAGACATCATCGACATCCAGAACAAGGAGCCGCCGCACGAACTCGGCTGGCACATCGACGAAGACAAGATGGACAACATCTACCAGTGGATAGTGGAACTGCACTCATTCGATTCCACTCTGCCACTTGCAAAAGACATGAAGAGTAAGGACGTCAGGAGCATCGTTTTGGAGCTGCGTTTCGGTAAGGACTACCCCATGAGCCCGCCATTTGTCCGAGTCATCCGACCTCGCTTCCTCGGCTTCCAACAAGGTGGAGGTGGTCACGTCACCGCAGGTGGTGCCATGTGCATGCAGCTTCTTACCAACGATGGCTGGAGCGCGGTCTCCTCAATCGAATCTGTTCTTCTCCAGGTCCGCATGGCTATTTCTAGCCTGGATCCCAAGCCCGCCCGTCTACAAGCAGGTGCCCCAGTGGACTATGGTGTTGGCGAAGCGGTCGAGGCGTATATGCGTGCTTGCGCCGTGCATGGTTGGACTGTCCCTGCTGGCTTCAAAGAGATGGCTTATGGTGGATCTAGCGCTGGGGATTACAACCCAATCTAGAAGAGTCGGAGCGTGCGTATTTCAAGGACGGAGTCAGAGCACCGAATTATGACAGTTTTGCGAGCATTGTTCGCTGGCAGCATGGAGTTCACAGATCATGGAGCGAGATAAGATGCCATGTGGGTTTTCAAATCGCAATGAAGTGGGATTTTGATTTTTGTTAGAGGAGTTTCGGTGCATAGCATGGCTCACGGAGAACGGCATACGATACCTTTTGAGTTTTGCATCTTGGCGAGGTCTACGTGCAGTAGAAAAGTAGCAATCAAGTGCTTCGCCAATAGCTTCGTATAACATGTGATGGTGTGACGTGAGTCAGCTCAGAACAATCGGACTACTTCGTACTGGGTATCATTAACGTTAGAATATTGAAAAGTGAAAGTCTCTACAATCCACTACATGGACTCTATCCAACTTCCCGCAAGCCAGACGCCTGCACAGCCTACCAGCACCGCGGCTCCGTAGGCTTGCTTTGTCCACCCTTGCTCTTCATCCACTTTCCAAGCACCTTCTCTCCGTGCACTGTGTGAGACCTGTTCAGAACTAACGTTCTCAACACTTTGGTCATGCGATTTCGCCATCTTGACCACACTTCCCGCCTCTCGTACCCATCCTGTCTCGTTCCTCCCCTCTACTTCTACATTCTGCACATTGCCGAAGAAATCCATGACTCGTCTCTCCCGTGCCGCCTGCTCTCCTCCTTCGAAGAGATCGTACCGTATACCTGGGTGACTGTGAATCTTCTCCTCGTCGTAGCTGTCGAACAGATCGCCCATTGTCAGTTTGGAAGTCGGATCGCGGACTTGCGTTTCCAAAAACTCCAAGTTGTAGTATGTGTAGCGGTCGATAACCGCGACGCCAACGTCGTTGTCGGCGTGGTGTGAGTAGGAAGATTGGTCAATCTCTGAGGAGCCGGTTGCGAGGATGTTGGGAGAGTAGAATTTGGAGTACATGGTGTTGGCTTGGCATGTGTCTATCATGAACAGGATTTCGTGGTAGCTGGGACATTGATTAGCAGGGTGGTCTATGAGTGTGATAGAGGAAATGGACATACCGTTTCTTCTCCCACATCTGTCCGAACGCATCTGCGAGATCGAATGCACTGATCTCCTCTGCGTCTTGAAACTTGAGAAATTCGTTTCCGCCATGGCCCGTCATGTATACGAGGATGTTACTCCGTTCGTCCGTCATCAGCCTCTTACTCCGCGGCATGTCCTCTCCCACTCTGTCCGTCATCAATCTGATGAAATTTTCAACCGTGACTTCGTATCCCCGGTAGTCTACCTCGATGTTGTCACCGTAGAGGTCTAGCGCGCGGTCTGCGTTGTTGTAGACGGTTCCAGGGAAGGCGTTACGAGGGTTGCACGCCATGTCGTCAGGCAGCATGAGGATGATTTGCGAATCGGGGATCCCGAGACGCTTGACGGTGCGATATAAGGAGAGTACATTGGCGAGATGTCGGTAGTTGAACCAGAAGCGTGATGTCGAGACGAGGACGGCCCAGTTGGATGTATGTTCGCTAGCGACGAAAGGAGCTGCCAGTAGAGGCAGAAGCGCGGTGGAGAACTTCATCGCGAAGTCGGTATTGATAGTAGATCCCTGGGAGGTTTGCACAGTGCTTGGAGTGGTATGCGGACCCGCGACGCGCCCCTAGTCTAGCAGTCCGCGATGCACGTTAGAGTGTTGGCCATCTGACAAATCGGAGATAAGCAATCACTCCGCCAATGATATCCGGCTATCACGTGTGGAGCTTTGCACGCTAGCCGATCACCTTGCATCATCGCGTGCACATGCTCAAGCACGCCATTCCATGTCAGGGCTCCGTTATCTTCCTATCTGGACATCCTGATCTTCTTCTTCTCTTCTTGAATGCTTCCTCGTCCGCACGCTGGCTGAGTCGATTCAGCTCCAGAATATCTCGAGGATGGCACCAGACCGGGGATCCGCACCGCTGGAAAATGAAAGAGGAGGGCATGGTGAAGAGACGGATGATCATGCGCTCGGCCGCAGCAGATCGGGAGCCCGCAAGTACCTGGCTGAACAGGCGTCGCAGCCACAGAACTTTACGCTCCGAGGTGTTTTGGTAGGCTTGGCGATTGGTGTGGTGATTTGCTTCTCGAATATGTACTTTGGATTGCAGACTGGTTGGGTTTCTGGCATGGCTATGCCTTCTGCTCTGATCGGGTTCGCATACTTCAAGGTCGTTGCAAAGACACTCAAGTTGCCATTTACGCCGGTTGAAAATGTTTTGGTTCAATCAGTTGCGGGATCGGTCGGCACCATGCCTCTCGGATGTGGATTCGTAGGAGTGATTCCTGCCCTGAACTACCTGTTGAAACCTGAAGAAAACGGACCTTTGGATATAAGTCTATGGAAGCTGATCGTGTGGTCTGTGGGCATCTGCTTCTTTGGTGTTGTGTTTGCGGTACCACTGCGGAAAGAGATGATTATCCGAGAGAAGCTAAAGTTCCCGAGTGGGACTGCGACTGCTCTTCTGATCAAGGTGCTCCATGGAGATGAAAAGTCCAAGACGATGATGGTACGCGAAGGGATTCAAGATAGGGATGACCAGTTCGATGACGGAGAGGAGGCACAGGGCCTACTACAAGGTTCAAGCGCGCAGCGGGAAGAGCATGATCTTAGGCCGTCCATGGACGACAGCATGAAGGATCCAGATCAAGAGCTTGGAGAAGATGGGGACTGGAGATCTAAGATCAGATTGCTGCTCATCTCTTTTGGCGGATCCGCACTATACACTGTCGTATCGTACTTCATCCCGCAGCTCCACGACATACCCGTTTTCGGTCTTCCCTTGGCGCAGAACTGGCTCTGGACTTTGAACCCTTCGCCTGCGTACGTGGGTCAGGGTATCATCATGGGTCCTGCTACGACGCTTCATATGCTCCTCGGTGCCATCATAGGCTGGGGCATCCTTTCACCACTTGCCAAGCACAAAGAATGGGCTCCAGGGCCGGTGTCAGACTGGACAAACGGATCAAAAGGCTGGATAGTCTGGATATCTCTTGCCATTATGCTTGCGGACTCCCTTGTTAGCCTGGGGTGGCTTCTTTTGCGTCCCGTCATCACAGTCGCAAGAGCTTATTACCCTACTGCAAAAGAAAATTTCCAATCGCATACTTGGAAAGAGATATTCACGCTGAACATCACATCCAAGCCACAGTACACTCAGCTCAGCGATGGCACGTCAGCGAACCCGTTGGCAGCGATCAAGCAACATCTCGCTGAAGGTGCCGAGCCGGATGCCCCGCCTGAGCATCTTGTTTCGAACCGTACCACTATCATCGGTCTAATTGCTTCGCTAGTTCTTTGCGTCGCTGCTGTCCATATATCATTCCCAGGCCTCATTCCCTTTCGGCTTACCCTGCTATCGCTCGTACTTGCGCTCGTCCTATCCATTATGGGTGTCCGCGCACTTGGCGAAACAGATTTGAACCCCGTTTCTGGTATCTCGAAGCTCACTCAACTCGTCTTCGCGCTCGTCACGCCCACCACTGGGCCTGGTGCCAAGAATGCGGTCATTATCAACCTTGTTGCAGGCGCCATCTCCGAGTCTGCTGCACTACAAGCAGGCGATCTACTACAGGATCTCAAGTGTGGTCATCTGCTAGGCGCAGCGCCGAATGCGCAGTTTTGGGGCCAGATGATCGGTTCAGCATTCGGTGCGGTGTTATCTGCTGTTGTATACAAGCTGTACACAAACGTATACACCATCCCCGGTGGCCTGTTCGAAGTGCCGACAGGATACGTGTGGGTCTTTACTGCGCGATTGGTGACAGGCAAGGGCTTACCGCCAATGGTCAAGGAATGGGCTAGTGGAGCGGCTGTCATATTCGCCGTAGGTACTATGATCAGAGTTTGGGGCAACAACAGAAAGCAGAGGGGTTTGAGTGGATGGTGGATCGACTTCGTGCCTGGTGGAATCGCTGTCGCTGTCGGTATGACTTGTCACATCCCTTCCAAAATCTCACCAACTAACTCACCGTGCAGGCATGTACAACACTCCATCTTTCACGTTGGCGCGTACAATAGGCGGCCTGCTCAGTCTATGGTGGCGGCGATGGAAGGGTCGAAGCGAGACACCTATCATCGTGCTTGCAAGTGGGTTGATCCTTGGCGAAGGACTGTTTAGTATCGTGAACTTGTTACTGGCAAGTTTAGAGGTACCTCATTTGTAGGAACGTTCGTCGACTAGTCAGATCAGGTTGGTTGTGGTGCAACCTGATGTTCAATACATCTTACGTGTTCATTTGAACAGGCTCAGTTGCATTGACATACTCGTCGCTCCATCATATTCGAATCTCCATTACTTCATGATCTATTAATGCCTCCTAGCTAGGCTTTGCGTCTACACGTTTGCATGATCTATGTTACAAGAAACGAGCACCTCGGAAAAGAACAGCGATTTATACAATACCTTCCTCCTTTTCTCTCCTTATGTGCTCTCTTCTCGCTCGCATCGCATTCCAAGGCGTGAGCTGCTTCAAGCCCAGCCACGGCGAATTGATGGGACTAGGCCCTGTATATATGAAGATGTCGTAAAGGAAGCCACCAAACGCACAGCCAAGGAAGGGCGCTACCATTGGGATCTACATGAATTAGCAGATGTTATTGATATTGTCGGAAGACGTACCCAGAAGTAGTAGCCGCCAGCGGACCACACTTCGTGACCATAGCCAACAGCATACGACATCAATCTTGGGCTGAAGTCACGAGCGATATTAATTGCATAACCAGTCTGCCAGCCAAAGCAGGATCCGAGGCCGAAGATTAGGAAGAACAAACAAAGAGGAAACCATTTATCGGACTGTATGATGGTCAGCATCATCACACATTACTGCTATCTGTCGTACCTTTGGGACACCGTTGTTGCTCGGGTCCTTCAACGCGAAGATGACAAACATCAGCAATGTACTTGCGATGAACTCCGAGAAGAACTGGCTTGTTTTTGTAAGGAACGGCTGTGGATATGTGCAGAATATTGCTGCTGTAGCCTTCTCGGCAGGAGGCACTGTTCGCATTTTTCCACCTTCAAACCAGTCGATGGAGCTAATGTAGTTTGCATATACGATACCGGATCCAACGAAACCACCTAGCATCTGCGCAGCGAAGTACATTGGGAACCGCCGCCATGGTAACTGGCGGTATATGCAGTTGCTGAGGGTAATGGCTGGGTTGAGATACGCCCCAGAGTCGCCTGCCACGTACAGTCCAAGCATGACGCCTAGGCCCCAGCTGCTTGTTGTTAGTATGCTTTGCCATCTTTCCCAAATCAGCACTCAACTCACCCCCAGTTTATTGATTGATACTGCCCGAAGCCGTTGCCTCCTGGAGCAGTAGTCTGACCAGCTGATAACAAGACTTGCGCAACCGCTCCATCACCGAACATCACCATGATGGCAGTGCCCCAGAACTCAGCAAACGGCTCCCTCATCACTGTCCTTATGCGCGACCATAGCAACTCAGATGCTGCCCCATGATCATGCTCCTCATCGATGGGTGCCTGGGGATGCAAGCCAAGTACCGATCGCTTTCGTTGAGCGCTCGACGATGTTCGATTAGGCGAGAGCTCTGAGTTGGTAGAATGCGACGAATACTGTGTCGGCGCCTGAGTCAGAGGTGTAGCGCTCGTTCCAGACCTGATACTATCTAGGCAGTTCTCGGAATGATCGTCTGCCCAGTCGCGTGTGATTGACGGCCCTGGGGCCATTGGTCCTCGAGTGGTCATAATGGAGGGACGTCAAATGCAACACTAGATGATGATAGACTAACACAAAAGCCTCTTGGCCTCGATAACGGTACCAACGTGAGAAGAGTGCTAGCAGATGCACATAAACAGCCTACTCAGCGGACCATGGCTGCTTAAGCACCTCATTCCATACCCGCGGCTCCTATGCTAGAAGACGTCACAGCATAATCCCTCATCGCGATGACAACGCCATTGGAGGACGATCTCGTACTTCCCCTCATTAAACTAGTGAGATCTCCAGCTTGGGGTACGATGCCGCGCGCCGTCAGCTTGGGACGTGACTGTTGTGCGCCAGAAATGACGTCTGTCAAGCCTCGGGGCGTTATTTCCGTAAGCAACAAAGCGGAAACTTATCCCTTCACTGGATTAGATGGTGATGAGGTTAATTTGTGATGACTCGAGAGAGGATTTACAAGTATAATAATACAGTGGATGTTAAGATCATTGTTTTGATACTGCGTTATTCCCGATGGTAGAAGTGTGGGGAGCTTTTGTGGATTTTCTGGGGTGCGTCGGCGATCGCGATGCCCAGTTAGCGCCAAGTTTGGCTATCTGCCTAGGTAATGTTCGACTCCGATCTGCCTCTCGCAGTTGTACAGGACACGCAAGTAAAACATCGCCCTCCTTACCATCAAACTTGCGGAAACTGTCACAGACGAGGCTGTCGACCTCAAATCTTCCATCGTCGTCGCCTACCATCCTATCATGTTCAGGGGCTTGAAGCCATTGACTCTCCCGGATACCCAACAGCAATTGGTGTCGAGGGGGCCGTGCATGATATTGTTGAACATAGCTTCGCCGGTGGAATCTTCGATATTTTTGAACGGAGGCTCGCCACATAGAGTGTACCAGAGGACACCGCCAAAGGGCCATATATCCTCATTAGAGCCATACGAGTAGTACATCTTAGCACCACGCCGGCGCTTAGTGCCCTTCTATTCGTACAAGGTGTCCCTTCAGAGTGTTGTGTTTCGCGGTGGATCCAACTGCTTCAGGGTCCAAGGGACGCATAATCTTCTCGTCTTCCTTGTTCTTCATTACTTGTTTGGTACCGTCTTATGTCTAGACCTCACCTTTCTCTGGATCTGAAAGAACCGAGTGGAAACGACAACGTAACGCCACAGCTGGAGTGCATCACAGGAGGGTTTATGAACACTGGATGGCTATGAATGAATATGAAATATACTAACCAGTTACCTACCCAATAACCGCATATAACACTCTGTCACACCTTCGGTGAGCGCCATCGTTCAACTGCAGTCATCAGTATTGGGGACCAGCAGAGCTAGTATCTGGACTGCTGAGCAGTATATGGACCGCTGAGCAGTATAACGACCAGCAGGGCTAGTATAACGACCAGAACGAGTCTAGTATAATGACCAGAGCGAGTCTAGTATAACGACCAGAGCGAGTCTAGTATGAGGACCAGCAAAGCTAGTATTATCACGATTCAATCATCAAGTGTCTGCAGTGAGCCAGAAAGCGACATCTTTCCAATCGGTACTCACTTGATTAGGGGCGGTGAGGGGATAGATGCACATGAAACACTCTTCCAGGGAGCCATCGGTCGACACGTCCATGGTACAATGCGTATACAGAGGCCATCAGCATGGACGCATGAATCGCACGCGAAGTCGGGGTTACCACCGGCCCGTTTGCAATACTCGCGACTGTGCCCTAACAACCGTGAGAACACGCGATTTGTTTTTTCTCCTCAGTGTAAATGTCCAGATTTCAAGTGATACGACCATAACGCTCTCGGTAGTCTTTGTGAAGGCAGAGCTGTTGTGTCCCAGCTTCATAGCGTCTTTGATCGATACTGAAAGTCCCGCAATTAGCCGACATTACGTGTTGTCTTTCGGTAGTTGAATATACTGGATTTGTATAATCTCATTGGCAGTCTGCCGCATATTTTGGGGCGATTCCGGGCTTGGTTTGCTATGTGCCGTTTGAATTAATTCTGGTCACTCGTCGATGTCTGGACGTCGTGTCAAGTTCGTCTGCGGAGTCGTTCTGCTGGTCGTTGCAATTGCGGAGCAACAAAGGGCTTGTTCGTGATGCTAGCCGATAGCATCTCCGGCTCAACGTCAATAGTAGACTGATCAGCTGGCTTGGTCGTATTTGCTGCCGTGTCTTCATTCGCGATCCTCATCATTGTCAAGGACAGTTTGATCAAAAGGTTGTCGTCGGAGTCTGGACCGCCTCCTTCGGTGGCGGCTTTCCTTCAGTCTGCGAATTGTTCTGAATCTTATCTGAATGTATAGAACTTGAAGATTTCGATGTCGGCATTGGTTGCATGTCATCGCCCTCGCTTTGTGCTACTCGTTGTGCCGGCTTCGATGTCTTAGCGACACCGGACTCTTGCGTCCGCAGCTTAGGTTGCTTCAAATTGGACAACATTCGCACAACCTCTTCGTGTGTCTCTTTTGCCGCTTTCTCCGCCTCAACACAGTCGTACTTCTCGTGTACCAAGTATTTCGAGTTGGGGATCGCCTGTATCTGATCTATGACTTCTGGTACGTGATTCGCATCGTGTTGGAGCGATTTCTCGAACTGTTCATATGCTTCAAGCTCCTCTTCGGTAACCTTCCAATCTGTGTTGTTTGTCGAATCCATGAACTCGTTTGCCTTCTGCATGGCTTCGTCTGCCTTCCGCATTACCTCGTTGAAGGTTATTTCATTCTTCTCCGGCTTCATTATCGGGACATTTGCTTGTAGCGGGATTACTGGCTGTTTCGCATTTGGACCGGATTGACACGGTAAATCTTGTAGTGGCGAATTGTGTACGGGCTGATTCTGCATGAACGAATTCTCCAATGGCTCTCCATATTTGAGCTGATCAGTTGTTGGCTGGTTTGAACGTGATTGGTTAGATAGTGTCTGATCAAGGTTGGCAGCGTGGTCAACTGGTGAATTGTGCTGAGTTGGGACGGTTTGATGCAAGTTTGGCGAGTTCAGCGCGCTTGGCGACTGCACAGGTGTATTGTGATCTGAGCATTGGTATGGAGCGTTATTGTAACACTCTGAAGGAGAATTTTTTTGGCCCTCGGTATGCTGTGGATTAGCCATGGCAAGGGTGAAGAATAGTGACGATCGGAAAGTGGAAGGTTATACTGTCAGCGATCTTTTTGGTGCTTAGTCATTCACGCGTACTCAGGTGTTGTCTGACGCCATTGCCCCGCTGCCCGGAGGCAGCTGCCACAGGCCGCATTCTACCAAACTTTGACTCATTTTCTAACTACGCAACACACATCGGAAGATTCGCGCTGCACTCCCGTCAAGTAGAACGCACATACAACTTCACATCCCGTAGGACATTATGGCGAAAAAGGGCGCCGCTGGTGGTGGCGAAAACTCCAAGAAAGCACAAGGACAAGCACGCAAGGCTGACGCTGCCGCATCGAAGCAGGCTGCAAAGAACCAACAAGCAGAGAAGGCAGAGGCAGAGGAGTGGAGCAAGGGCGCAAAGTCGAATGCGAAGGCGTAGGCTGCACCTTTGTCACTACCTGTGCAGTAGCTAACAGATCGCAGCGAGGCAGCAGCAGAAAAGGCCGCTGAAGCAGCCCGTAAGAAGGCTGAAAAGGAAGCGCTGCTTCGCGAAGAAGAAGCTTCTCTACCCTCAAAGCCCAAGGGCAAGAACCCCAAAGCCGAGAAGAAGCCCCGCGGCATTGACTCGGCGCTTGGCTCTTTCGACGCGAAGCCTGGCGCTCTCAATGCCACCGGTATCGATAACGCCCTCGACGCTCTGGACATCACAGGCAACAGTCAAGACAAGGTGGATCGCCACCCTGAGAGGCGCTTCAAGGCTGCATACGCTGCGTTTGAGGAGCGAAGACTGGAGGAGATGAAGGACGAGAAGGGTCTGCGACGACAGCAGAAGATTGACCAGATCCGCAAGGAGTTCGAGAAGCACCCCGACAACCCATTCAACCAAGTCACTGGGTCCTACAATATGACCAAGGAGGAGATGGCCGCGGTACGGGAATCGGAGAAGGACAAGAAGGAGAAGAGGCTTGTGGGGGTGTAAATTGTGTGGCTGTGTTCTTTTCGCGTGCTATTCACATTCGGGGCGTTCTGGGTAGACCTGGGACGAGACGCCTCAGCGCATGATTGCTAGACGGGCCGAGGCATATCCTGAGCGAGGTTTGGCTAGACTGCGCCTCACGAACGACACCATGGGTCTGTAATTTGACCTGCATCTTCAACAATCTCTTCTGCTGCTTTTGCCTGTGACGATCTCCACGGTCTTGGCACCACGATAGCCCCGCATCATCCCCTAGCTATGCAGGTACAAGTACGCGTCTAGCTGATCTTCTATGGTAGTGCATGCTGGTGCGATTAGCTGTGACGTTCGTCGTGAGAGTATGGTAAGCGACGTGTCTTTTCTTAGCGACTAAACAGCGACAGCAAAAGCACCTGTGCTGCACGGCCAGCGAGCACAAGGGATCGACCGAGTCCAAATATGAAGGGTAAGGCGCCCAGACAATATACAGAGGCGCCAAAAAGATCAAAGGCCAGAAAAGCAACCAGCCGCCGCGCTGAAACATGCATGCTAGCTAGCCATTGGCTACGACTAATTCTGTTCCTGCGTTTCGAAACGCCCGCTTACCCAATCCCTGCTCTCACCCGCGCGCTCCTCCCCCGACTTCATTCACCGAAGAAATGGGTCCACGCGAGTCAGATCTGTAGATAATGCCTAGCCCCGTCCTTCACTATGGCTGCTTTTCTCTCACTTCACATTCTGCCTGCAGCTGCGGTGTATACAATCGTTACTTTCCTTCCTTTCTCTCTTTCGACTTGTAGTCGCTTACCTTCTTTTGACCTCTACCCATTCGTTTCTCAACCAACATGAAGTACTTTACTACTGGAGCTGCGCTCCTTGCTACTTTGACTGCAACCGCCGGCGGTGTCAAGCTTGACCCGGAGGATGAGGGTGAGGATATTTTTACTGATTACAATTCCGGAGCTGACTTGAATAGCGTCCATTCTCAGCGCTACTCGGCAGTATGCGTACGGTCTGATGTCGATGTACCAGGGCAACGCCACAGGTGTATCCAAGGAAGATATAGGCATCTGGCCCCAGCCCCACTACTGGTGGGAAGGCGGTGCGGCATGGGGTGGCATGATAGAGTACAGCCAGTTTTCGGGAGACGATTCGCACGTCAAGACTCTCCAGCAGGCTCTGACTGCCAACTATGGCCCCGACAACGACTTCATCCTGTCTTACCGCAAGAGCCAAACTGGCAACGATGACCAGGCTTTCTGGGCGCTTGCCGTTATGAGTGCGCTCGAGTATCAGTTCCCTGATCCCGCTCAGGCGCCCGCGAGCTACCTCGAGGTCGCAACAAACGCCTTCGAGAACATTGTTGGCCGCTGGGACGAGACTTCCTGCGACGGAGGCCTCAAGTGGCAGATCTACCCTGAGAACGCATACGGTTACAACTACAAGAACTCCATCTCCAACGGATGCGCTTTCGCTCTCGGTGCACGCCTTGCCCGCTACACTGGCGAGCAAAAGTACGCCGACTGGGCTGTGAAGATCTACGACTGGACGAAGAAGGTTGGCCTCATTACCGACAAATACGAGGTGTTTGACGGGACAGATGACAAGACCAACTGCGCCAAGGTCGCAGACGAGACTCAGTGGACTTACAACAACGCCATGTTCCTTCACGGATCAGCCTTCATGTACGACTACACTAACGGCGACGACACCTGGAAAGAGCGTACATCGGGCTTCCTGGACCACGCCGAGTTGCTGTTCTTCCGACCTTTTGAGAACGCCACGGACATCATGTACGAGTGGGCTTGCGAGACAGGCGAGAACAACCGCCCCTGCAATCTCGATCAACAGTCCTTCAAGGCATACCTCTCGCGCTTCATTGCCAAGACTGCAATGGTAGCTCCCTTTACCAAGGAAAAGATCGTTCCATTCCTGAAGGCTTCTGCGGTCGGTGCTGCCAAGTCCTGCTCTGGTGGCCCTGATGGCGCTACATGCGGCAGCAAGTGGTACACTGGAAGCTGGGACGGAACCTCTGGTGTCGGTCAACAGCTATCAGCCTTGGAGGTCACTCAGGCTCTTCTGATGATTCAGAAGGGTACTCTTCCTGCGAAGAACAACAGCGCGCCGAAGCCATTGACTAGCGCCACCCCCGAGTCCAGCTCGACACCCGCCCCTTCATCCGCTACTTCTGTCTCCAGCCAGGTACCTGCTACTAGCGAAGTTGCTGCTACATCCAGCGTAGTTGTCGAGGCCCCTTTGTCGAGCAAGATCCCATCCAGCGAGGCGCCGTCTAGCGAGGCTCCCGAATCGGTCTCATCGAAGATTCCCGAAGCAGTTCAAGCACCTGGTTCGACCGTGGTGGTTTCTTCGGTAGTCGTTGTTACAAGCACATCGGCTGCGAGCTCTCAGCCATCTTCTTCAGACAAGCCTGCTGGTCAGTCTAACGCTGCCGCGTCTGCTAGCTGCGTCCGCAACGTGACCAGGACTGTGACTATCTCGCGCGCTTCTTCAACAAGCAGCTGCACACCTAGTGTGACCGAGACTGTATACGTTCCGGCAGCATCTACGACTTCAGGTCTCCTGGTGGACTCTTCTCCTGCCCCCGTTGTACCGCCTGTCTCTACGACATTGATCTCAGCGCCACCTGCTAACAGCAGCTCGCCCAGCTCGACATCCCCAGCGGAGTTCCTCGGCGCTGGCTCTATGCTCACCAGCAGCAGCTCGGTTCTGGCTGCCGTAGTAGCCGCAATGGTCTTCGCAATGTTGTAAGCACCAGTGCGCACATTGCCTCACATCTTCTTCTTCTATCTTGTACATATACCCTTATTGTTTTATAGACCACCATATTCCTGGGCCGCTTGACGGCATCTTACAAAATGTATATTGGTCCTTTTATCTGGCAGGATGCATACGTGACTGTTGTAATACTAGCTTGACGTTTGCGTGATATGATGGCAAATTTGAAAAATTGCAAAGTACGTACTGTCAAATCGCTTGATCGGTCTGGCATGTCTCCGGGGGTGACATTTTTCGGCGATGGGCGCTGGCGACTACCCCACTAGGGAAGGCCGCCAACAATTAACGTGCGATGACATAGGAACCATCCCACTACCCCAGCCCATATCTGCAACCCTCCACATATCCGAGCTCAACAACGAAATAGCGTTCCGGATACGCGCTGTTGAAAGCTTGTCATCCTCAGCAACAAAGCGTGCTGATCGGGTATCGGCTATTCACGTGTCCGCGCAGGATCGGAAGTTACTGTGGCCTGATGTTCTTCTACACGCGACATCTGTAGAGAAAGTGCTAGAACGTGAAGGTGCGTGACAACATGTCTCAGTCTGCACCTGCATGCTAACCAACGTGAATCTTGCAGCTCCCAACGCAGCTTCATTGTCAGCGACTGTGATTCGCAGTGCGCACATCCAAACCTCGTCGCCCCTCGTTCGCTATCGCTATCACCCCCGAACCCACATACGATCGCACACAGCCATAGGAGGCTACACCAACCTCGCTCTTTCGGTGGCGCATACCACCTCTCTCACGACCGCTGGTAGCATACTCGTGGTCTAGGCAGCCGCCATGGCGACCCAGAAGAGAGATGCGAAGGGCAAGAAGCTCGCTGTCATGAACAAATATGTTTACGACGCCTTCTTGTGGACGTTCTCGATCCTGGTGGAGCTCTTCTTCCGAGAAGTGCATCCCAGGAGTAGTTGGAAGGTGCCAAAGGAGGGACCGGTCATTTTCGTGTGCGCCCCGCATGCGAACCAGGTGAGGCACAATGCTATCGTGCTGCGCGACGGAGTATGCTAACGGATGGCAGTTTGTTGACCCCCTCATGTTGATGCGAGTTGTCAAGAAAGAATCCGACCGCCGAATCCAGTTCCTAATCGCCGATAAGTCGATGAAGCGCAAGTTCGTGGGTGCAATGGCAGGTTTGACAGGTGTCGTGCCGGTAGGAAGAGCCATGGATATGACGAAGCCTGCAGAGGGCAAAGTGTACCTCCCCGATCCCATCAACGATCCGACCCTTGTTCGCGGTGTAGGCACCAATTTCGAAGACCCAAAGTTCCAAGTCGGCGGCTCGATCGTATTGCCCAAAGTAGATAACAAGGCGGCGACCGCTGAGATACTCGAGATCAAAGGCCCCGAAGAGATCAGATTAAAGCGTGGCTTCAAGGGAGGTGTTGCCATGCAGCAGATGACTGGGCGAAATGACATGACCAAGGACGGCACATTTGTTGGCGGAGCCGATGCAAAGAAGGGTATTGCTGATGGTTACGAGGGAACTCCCTTCCAGGTTGCGCCCAAACTCGATCAAACGGAGGTTTACGACGCGGTTCATGCGGTTCTCCATCACGGTGGAAGCATCGGTATCTTCCCTGAGGGTGGTAGCCACGACCGCACAGATCTCCTACCTCTAAAAGGTGAGTAATCCAACAATCGTAGTCGGTCACGTACTAACAGCCCTAAGCTGGTGTTGCTATCATGGCGCTCGGTACAGTTGCAACGAAGCCAGACTGCAACTTGAACATCATTCCCGTTGGCATGAACTACTTCCACGCTCACAAGTTTCGATCAAGGGCTGTCATCGAGTTTGGTACGCCAATCCACGTGCCACCTGAGCTAGCTCAGAAGTTTGATGGACCTGGAAGACGTGAGGCCATCGGCGAGATGTTGGAGACTATTCGCCAAGGGCTCATCTCTGTTACTGTTACGACACCAGATTACGATACTCTTATGGTACGTTCAACACGCTCCCACATGCTCTATCAATACTGACTCTTCTCAGGTCATTCAAGCTGTACGCCGCCTCTACAACTCCAAAGGCACCAAGCTCCCTCTCCCTAGGATTGTCGAGCTTAACCGCCGCCTTGTCCAAGGTTACGAACGATACAAAGACGACCCTCGCATTGTCGAGCTCAAGAAGGAGGTCACCACGTACAACGGCAAGCTTAAGGCGCTCGGCCTCCGGGATCACCAAGTGCAGTATGCGAAGATGCATCCTATTACGGCATTCGGCCTGTTCTTCTATCGTCTTGGAAAGCTTCTCTTCCTAAGTATGCTCGTCCTTCCTGGAACGCTACTCTTTAGTTTGGTCTTTATCGTCACTAAGGTCGTCTCGATCAAGAAGGCGAAAGAGGCACTCGCCGCATCGAACGTCAAAGTTCAAGCCAGAGATGTCATGGCCACATGGAAGCTTCTCGTCGCCATGGCTGCCGCCCCAGCAGCCTACCTTTGGTACGTTTGCCTAGGACTCTATTGGTACTCCTACAACAACTGCAACGGTTACCTTCCTGCTGGCATCCAGAAACGTTGGCTCATTCTTCCTCAACTCGTTGTCTATATTACCCTCACATATGGCGCTCTTCGATTCGGTGAGGTCGCCATGGACATTTTGAAGTCACTGGGCCCCCTCTGGAAGATGATGAACCCCTTCTCCAACAGCGAACTCGTCAAGCTACAGGAGCGACGCGAGAATCTAGCCCAGCGTGTGAATGACATTATCAACGAACTCGGTCCGGAGATGTACGAGGACTTCCACTCCAAGCGTATTGTCGAGGATCCTTTTGTCAAGCAGGAGCACGACCGTACACCACCGCAAAAGTCAGACGAGGACGCGAAGACAGAAGCAGGCCAAGACATCGAGACATATGATTACCCTGCTTCACCTGGTTCCATTAACGAGATACCGCGCAACGAGTCGTTCCACGATCTTGCCAACCAAGACTTCTTTTCTAGTCGACCGCAGACGCCAAAGAAGAGCCGCAGCAGGAATAGCAGTAGTGCGAACTTGAGCGGCTTCCAGCTCAAGCCTTTCAGTACCATTGATGGCAATCTGGACGAGGTGAAGAGGAGGTTGACGGACGGTGTCAAGCAAAGGACAAGGAAGAGGAGGAGTAGCGGAGAGGGAAGCTGGGACGACGGTGAGGATGGCGAAGAGTTGACCATTGGCAGGAAAGACAGGTCGTATACCAAGTAGTTTTCAGAGGCGATGACAGTAGTTGGCGGGAGCGGTATGTTGGTTTTGCTTGTGCTTTAGTACTAAAGATACCACTTTCCTTTCTTCCAGTCGGTTGATATTGGACTTGTTATGCATGAATACGATTTGCTTGCTATGCTAAGTACTTTCCAAAGGTCATCGCTTGTACATGTCACCCTGCCTACAAATATGCCCCGAATCAATAAATAAACTTACATGGATATTCCCACCCAAAAATGCCATGTCATGCATGCAAACGCTGTGCCCGAAACCCCAACCTTGATTCCTTCAAAGTGGTATCTTGCCTCTGTACCAAAACCATATCGTCACCAGAACAGTAACACAAAGAAATCTCTCTACGTGGAAGACGGTGCACATCTATCCAACAACAGCCTTTTGGCTCAGCTTCTCCAAGAATCCACTCAAATCTTCTTTCTTAATCTCAATCACACACGCCTCGAAACTGTCCATGCGCACTCTGGCGCCCGTCTCTCTAACAACTTCTTGGAACGCGTTGCCGAATCTGTTCATTCCCGATCTTCTGTTGTCATCTTCATCTTCTGAATCGTCAGAATCGTTGTCCGAGGAGTCGTCTTCCTCCTCCTCGGATTCACTGTCATCTGCCACTTCATCTTCTTCAAGGCCAGCAGCGAGGTTGCGTGCAACACGCGCTTTGCGTCGTTTTTCCCTTGCTTCGGCCTTTTCGAGTTGTCTCGCTTCCTTCGCTTTGAGTTTCGCCTCGCGTTTCTGGAGACGCGACTTTGCTGATTCGGTGGCACCACCTCCTCCAAGACCAACGACGACGTACAGACCTCGTGAGTCATCCAGGCCAGCCATTACGAGCTCACTGCCTTTGTTCTTGCCTTTTGTGCCATTTAGCTCGACGATAGCTTCGGCAATCCAGAGAGCGAGTTTGGTGAGGGCACCGGGGTGGGTGAAGAGTTGGACATCAGGGCCTTCCTTCACGACAGCCATGCGGAAGGCGCGAAGATGGCGAATCTGCCTCTTCTCAATCAGGGCGGTTCCTGTACGGAGGATGGCACGGTGAAGGTGTTGAGCTGTGCTAATGTGCTCGACTAGCTTGTCTATGTCGCCCAAGGCATCGTATGCCGTCCAGAAGCGGCTTGTGATGTGTTCTTGGGCGAGATCTTGTTGTTCTTGAGTCGATGTCATCTCAGTGTGGTCGTTGGCTCCGACAAAGTTCGAGCTGTCCAAGGCAGATTGGTTGAGATTCTTTGCGTCGCCGACTTCGAGGATGGCACCCAGGACGACACCGGCGTCGATGGCGGAGAGACATGCTTTCCACCCCCAGCAGCGTACAAATCCCCAGCCGTCCTTCGGGTCGCCTGTGCTTGACTTTGGCGGCACGAGGCCGTCAAGACCGTATTGTGGAGCGAACTTCAGGAGGCGTTCTCGGAGGCCACGCTTGAGCTCCATGTCCATGTGTGTATATCTTTGCTTGCACTCGGTCAGCGAGACACCCATCTTGGCAAGAAGTTTGGCAAGTCGCTTTTGTCCTGCATCGCTCCAGATGTGTAACTTCGCGGAGAGGTAAGGCGAGTGAAGCATGCTCTCGTAAAGAGACCAGTGCCTGAGGAGGAGGAATCGTGGTTCAGGAGAGAGGCGGATAGACTTGTCTGTTGCGGAGAGAGCACTCGTGGGGATCACACCCCATACCTCGCCCAGTGTTGCATTACGAGATACACTTGAGGCGTCTGTGACAGGGTTCAGTCGTCGCACTTCGTCCCGCAAGACAGAGCGGATATTCTCTCCTCGGTTCCCGTTCCATCCAGCTGAACCGCCTTGTGCTGAGAGAGGGTTGAGGCCCACACCGCTTCCTGTCCGTCCGTATAGCTCCAGACTGCTGACACCAACGATCGCGTTCCATAGCAGGTCGTTGTCTTCGCGGCCAAGTTCTGATGCAAGGTTATATACGAGGGAAGAGACAGGGTCTGAGTAGGAGGTGCCAAGCCCGTAGTATTTGTCGAGGACGGAGGCGTACTTGTTACGCTTCTTGATCAGCTGCCTTCGTAGACTCTTCAACGACTTCTCCTTCGGTGCGGCTACCGATGGGGACGCAGAGCGGCTGCGAGAGTCCGAACGAGAGAAGTCAGAGGAGCCGCCTATTTGATTCGCTACCAGTAGTCCTCTTCGCCGTCTCGGTTCGGGTGACGATGGTATTGAGCCTCCCTGGGTACTGTTAGCATACTCCTCCTTCTAAACATTGAATAGACCCACTGAATTACTCCTCCGCCTTTGTGCTGGTCGCTCATCGTCTGTCATCTCATCCTCGGAGTCATCCTCCTCGCCCCATGACTTCCTCTTCTTTGGTGCTTGTCCAGACGACGGTTCCTCATCATCCTGGTCGTCCGAGTCATCGCTAATGTCGTCTTCCTCTCCCACCTCTGGCATCTCTTCAAGGCCGGCATATGCTTCACGCTCCGCCTGTAGCTCTTCTTCGATATCACCGTCGTCAAAGACTATGATTCCACCTCTTGACGACCGGTACGAGTGTAGGATCTTGCCCTTGTCCACCCCCGCTTGTCTCCGCACGAACTCTCCCGTTGCGGGGTCCTGACTTATGGGCGCGGCAAAGACGTTGGTAAGATTCCACGGCCGCCTCGCGTCCAAGAGCCAGACTTCTACGTCACCCGTTCCACCCTCCCCATTTTCATCCACATCCAGACCCAGTATCTCTTCCATGTCCACCATGCCTCCCACACCTAAGCATATGACCACGCCTCCGCTTCCGCCGTCTGTTGTCCGCATGGGCCGTACCAAGTCTTCTGCCGCTCGTGAGAGGTCGCCATATCCGGCTATGGGTTGTATTTTGTGGGGTATGTAATCGCGCTTCAGTAACGCGGTGAGTATTCGGCAGGCACAAAGCGCGTCTGGTTCGAGGGCGACAAGGAGCAAAACTGGCGGTGCGGCGGCATGTGTGCGTTTTATGAGGTTCTGGTATAGGTGGGCTATCAGGTTTCGCGGGAGGTACATGGCGGTGGCGGTAAAGTGGTTTGCCCTGCGTGCAGGTGTAGAGAAAACGCGCGGAAAGACGCGTCGGGAGGATTTGAGGGGGGACTGGTGGGGCGGTGTGAAGCTTATTGTATGCTCAGCATTTGTGAGGAGAATAATACAAGACGTGATTAAAAATAAAGAGTAGGGCAGAAGGGCAATTGGCATGCGTGAGTACGGGTGCTTGCACAGCTCGTGGTGGTGCAATATGGAGGACGGGCTCGACGCGTTCTGCGCTAGCCGCGGAAATGGCTTCGCTCGGACGCGCCTCTGACGTGAACATTCACTCTCATCTCGATTCCGATCGCGACTCGTCTCCTATATCTAATGTCATCGGCACCAAAAGACACTGGTCGCTTCGTCCGTTCTTAATTTGTCTTCCTGCGAGTTAATAAGGCATTAATTTTCACTTTGCTCTCTGAGAATACGCTCTCAACGCGTGCATACACGTCGTCATCATAGCCGCACAGCATCATGATAATTGTCTCAGATGAGTTTTTGTATTGGTTTTCTAGAGCTGAGAACAGAATTACGGAATGACTCCTTAGAAACGGTGCAGAAGTCATACAAGTATGTATGTGCTTCTCCAATACATCCGCCACTCCTGTTCCATTCTAAACTCGACAACTCGCTGTCCTTCGACCACTTCTTTAAGCACTAGAAGTTAGCAACTTCTCGTGTCGTGGATCTCTTGATTCCTATCAACACTGGCTCTCGTGATGGGGCCTGCGAGCTTTCATGTCCTCCGGACGAGGCACAGCAAGTCCGAAGTCACGGAGCAGAGAGTTAGCGTAGTCGTATGCTGTGTCCACATGCTTCTCATCGACTGCTTCGAGTTGGACTAGAGATGCGACGATGTCGTAACGGTGGTCGAGGTTCTTGCCGTGCGCATCGCCCCATTTGGTCAGACCCGGATTGACGACCAAAGCGACAATTCCTTCGTTTAATTCTTCTCCATCGGAGCCCGGGATGGACTTCATCGACTGTGGGTTGAAGTCGTCTCCATTTTTGGGGTAGGTAACTTGAAAGCGGGCGCGCTGGAACGACATGTGCATAGTCAACGCAAAGGCCTTGTCGACGATCTGATGGAGCTCAGAGACGTCAATCTGGGAGGAAACCGCTGCTAGGGCTATGTTCATGACTTCGACGACATTGTCTCGAGCATTTATCAGACTCTGCTCCAAGGGTTGGTACTTCTCCTTCGTCATTCGCTGTGTGATGATTTTCGGATTGACAATACCACCCACCAGCCTCTCCATCGTGGTGTAACGCCATGTCTCGCAGACTACGGACGGAGTTGGCCAGTCGTGGTCGGAGGGCCTAGCGAACAATACTGGCCACAGGCTCCTTAATGGCTCAATCTTGGTCCCAAACATAATGAAAGGGTCTCGGAAGACAAGATTGAGCAAGACGGACCAAGTCCATGCTTCGATCATGTATTTCTTCTGGACACGACTCATCCGCTCCCCTCTTGCGACGTTTTTCAGTAGGACGCCAGAATCCAGAGTTTCGATCACATTAACGTCGGGTTCGAGACGAATGCTGCGGCTCAACGTTTTGATAAGACCGGCAAGGTTGCGGTATTCTTGCGCGAAGTGCTCGTCAGTCATCGCTTCTCCCTTTTCGACTCCGGCAAGCAGCTCTCTCTGCAATGCAGCCTTTTGTTCACGCAGGCTGTCAGCCTGTAGAGCATCTGCGATTAGAGGGTCCACGACGATGTCGATTGTCTCTGCGGTCTGCTCGTCCCATTGAAGATCTCGACACTCCGCATATGGGAAAACAACTTTCTCGACGAGATAGTTGTATCGGGTGCTGGTGTAGTGGCTTTCCATTTCGAGGGCTTGTAGATGCTGATGAAGCTTTTCAATCTGCTCTCCAGAGATTTTTTTCTGCTCTCGAAGCTCACTACGCTCATCGCGCATCTTCTTGTATGCTTCTTTGATTCTTTCGTACTTCAAACGCAAGTTCTGGAACATGTCGTTCTGTTGTTCTAGCTGCTCTCGTAGCGGTCGTTCATGCCCATCGAATGTACGGTCGAGAGTGACAGCGATCTCCGTTTCGTTTCGAGCTGCCATCAGCCTGTCTACCGCTTGTATGCCCACGTCGTGCCTGTTGTTGCTATCGCTTTCGGAACGGCTATCGTTCTGGGGTGATTGGAAAGACACGGAGTTGCCCATAACTGCGGCATTCTGAAAACGGTTTGTAAGCAGGCGGAGACGAGAAGAGCTTCTGTCACTTACTGCTGCTGTGGTTGCCAGATCCCCTCTCACCATCTCTTCAAGTGTGTGAAGACAAGCAGTAATGTTGGGCAACGTTTGATACAGGTGCAGGGTAGGTCGCAAGCGTACGATCGCAGGAGGCTTTCCTCGGCGGTGTATCAGCGCAACAAGCGAAAGCGCTCTTCTGTTACGTTCACCTTCACCTTCACTTTAAGCCGAAAAATTTTCAGCTGTCCGCTGCTATTATCTCTACAATCGTTTTGCACAAACACACCAACCTTTACGCGAGAATGAAATCCTTCTTCTTGCATACGCGAACAGTCGTTCATCCACCATGATGGGTAGCAGGCTAGTGATAGGTCTTGACTATGGCTGCACCTTTACTGGTAAGTTCTGGGTTCCAATTTTTGACAATCTGGATTCGGACTGACAACACAGGTGTCGCCTTCTGTGAAACCTCCGACACAAGCGTAGCCGAAAAGATCATTGAGGTCATTCAAGACTGGCCCTCTTGCCATACCATAGTCGGTACGAAGGACCAAGTCCCGAGCGAGATTTCATACACAGAAGATGGCATCGTGTACGGCGCTCTCATTCCCCCGAATGTGCAGCGTCATATCTGGACCAAGCTTGAGCTCGACACTCCACAGCTTGAAGATCCAGCCAAGCTATCGAACGTCAACGGTACCCAGGACTCAGCCGTACAAGTTGTCTCTGACTTTCTCGCGGAAGTGAAGGTGCACCTAGTCAAGAACCTCGACCGACGCTATGGTAGAGAGCTTTGGAAGACCCTACCTATCACATTGGTGGTGACCGTTCCGGCTGTATGGTCTGATGCTGCCGAAGACCGTACGCTAGACGCGGTTCGTCAAGCCGGTTTCAACAACTCCGGATTCCCGCAGCTGAAGAGGGTCGTCACCATCACTGAGCCAGAAGCCGCCGCAATTTATACAATCCAGTCGCTGCGTGGTGGTATTCAGGACAAACAATTCGCGATCGGAGACGGGTTCATTGTTTGCGATATGGGAGGTGGTACGGTAGACCTGATCTCATACCGTGTTGCCGAACTTGAACCGACCATCCTTGAAGAAGCTACTGTCGGCGGAGGTGATAAATGCGGAGGCACTTTCGTTGATCGCGCTTTCATTCGTTGGCTAGAACGCCGTCTAGGCACGGTCGACTTCGCAAAGATTGCTGGCTGCAGAAGCGAAGAGCTTCCACACACATCCATGTCTGTGAAGTTGGGCAAGATGGTTCAAGATTTCGTTCTGGGAGCCAAGGGCTGCTTCTCGGGGAAGCAGAAGAACTACATGCGTCTTCCGCCTCCTTTGAGCGCCATTGAGGAGGATTCACTTAGAGGCATTATCGATGGCGAGATCCTAATCACACCGTAAGTGTTCTGTTCCTCTAAACTCTACGCATACTAAAGCTTTCAGCAACGATATGGAGGACATGTTCGGGTTTTCCCTTCGCCGCACCTATGAGCTCTTATTAGAGCAAATGAAGCAAGCACGCCTCAGTGGCAAGGTACAGATCAACTACATTGTGTTGGTCGGCGGCCTTGCCGAGTCGCCATACATGTTCGACAAGATCCAGACATTCGCAGAAGGCCACGGTCTGCAGGCAATCCGGCCTCCAAATGCTTGGTCTTCTATCGTTCGCGGTGCTGTAGTGAAGGGTCTCGAGGGAGGTGGTCGCGCGCAGATCAAGAATCGTAAGTGCCGTAGGCACTATGGGACCGCTTGTAGTTATCCCTTCCGCCCCAGCAAGCATCAGGAGACTGACGGCTACATCTGTTCGTTCACGGGCACGAAGTGGGCTCGTTATCAAGTGAGCTGGATGCTCAAGAAAGGTCAAGATCTCTCTACCAACACCGACACTTATGCCAAGATGTCCATGAACGATCAGTTCTGGTCCCAAGATAAGCCTTCGGCCAGCGTCGATTTGCTCGCGTCAGATGAGGATAGGGCTCCCCAGCGCTCTAAGGATAAGGTCAGTCCACACACTGGATACGGAATTATGGCTATGAAAAATACTAACAACAACTAGGGTGTGTACACTGTAGCGACCCTCAATGTCGACTTGAGTGTTGTTCCACGCAGTGCATTCGTGCGTCAGTACAGTCCCGCTGGCGTCATGTACTATGAACTCACGTACGACATCGAGTTGTCAGTTCAGTCGTCTCTCGAGTACTCTATCTTGGTCAACGGTATTCGGTACGGATCAGTGACTGCCAAGTATACTTAGATATCTGGCTGCATTCATCTCAGCCATGTTTTCGAGGTCTCCTGCTAGACTTTGTCGTCCGGATGCCGTTTAGGCTGACTTTTCGCGCATTCGTCTCGACAGTCGTCTAGCATCTGGATAGTGGAGAAAATGGAACATACTGGACCTGCACCGTATGAAGAAGAAAGAGATTCTGTGGAAACATGGCATGAAATGAAGTCTCGCCATTCCAGGCATTTGACTTGTAGCTTGAACTTAGTCAGTGCCGCGAGTTTTCACATCTAGATAATCATCTACTACATAGTTCAAATGGACTGTCAAATCCGTTCCCCCTCCCACAATGACCAGACCACCTCTAGCCACTACGCTATTGATTCCCTTTCTCACCCTCCATACATCTCGCTGTCTCCGAAATCCCCTTTCAACCCCTCGCTATCATCAAACCCCCCACCAATCACCCCTTCCCGTCCCGCCAAGCCACCAAACTCTCTCAGCCCAACCGTTCCCTAGCTCATGCACTAATCACGAGACCAAATTCTCATGCACGTCATCTCGCCGCCATTCCTCAAACAGTCATACAGCCGGTGAAAAAGTGGGGATGAATGATCCCTGAGGTGCTGAGTTTGAAACGGCGATCGTGAGAAGGTTTAAGGCGCTGTGTGGCGTTGAGTTGGGCACAGTGGCTCGGAGAACGCAAAGAGGGGTTTGGGATGGTAGGAGGGTAGCGGAAACGAGGGGCTGGGTGGCTTGCGCCGGCAGTGATGGAGGGGATAGTCAGAATATGGGTAGGGAGGGCTGGAGCGAGCCGTACCATAACCGACCTCTTGTTGTGCTGGTCGATGGCCGTGGCGGGTGTAGTGTAACGCATCTGCATGACCTGTATATTTGGTGGAGTCGCGGGACGGACTGGGTCTCGAAGAGTTATATTCCGCGGTTGCACAGAGCTGTACGATGGGTAGAGGGTCTCTCGTGTGCCAAAGAATACTCCCCAACGTCCTGGCTGTCTGTCCGCTGTCTCTGTAGCAGCAGGTTGCTCACTGCACGATCAGAGTGAAGCCCAACTTGAAGATCCCAGATCCAGCACACGATCTTTGCTTCGTATTGTGTGGCCTGTGTTCCAGGTAAATGCCGCACCAAAATCGTATCATTTTCGTCAGCTGTTGCGGGAAAATCCGATACTCTACTGCACGGCATCGCCCGATGTCACCAGGCAGGTTTTCGCGAGTGTCGATCTCTCAAGCGCAAGTTTGACGAAGCACGCAACGGATCTACAGTACAAATTCTCATGTGACTCTAGTGCTCGGCTGTGTGGTATCAAGCCGACTGGCTGCCTTTGTCTTCCAAATCGTCCAGGTCTTGCACACGGTGGTAGTGCGTATTTGAGCTGCAGGTACGGTATCGGTTGTTGCGATGCAAAGGCACATTGCATCACCAAGCGCGTCATTCACAGGACTCCGATGAGTAGTTTTGCAATTTTCATATTTTTACGTTCAGTGGGTGGTTATTTTTTTGATCCCAAGGTGAGCTAAACCCAGTACTCCCTCCATGACAGTGTGATACCTAGTATCGTAGCGCGATATAATAGAAAAGAAAGAGAAGAACATAACTTGTTGTCGTGATTAGAAGCTCTATACCCAAATACCTTATGCGCACACCATAACACCATGCTGAGGGCCACAAGAAACCACTCATTATAATAGTCGTAAAAAGAAAGGGGACGAAACAAATATATCAGAAAACCTGGCTACAATCGAGCGGAGAACACCGACGCGTGATAGTGGGGATATCGAAGTTGTTGATGGGTATCTCATACGTGTGCGTATCATGCTGGGCCTTGACGTCCTCCTAGTTACCGTCTTCGTGCGGCTCGAATGGAGGCGCCAACGAGTAGTCTTGCGTTGGTTGTTGTGTATATGGGAGGGGATTGTATGGATTGTACGGAGCGTACGTTGGGTAGTTGAAAGGCGTCATGAGCATGCTGTTGTTGATGCGTGGTGCAGAGCTTGGGATGACAGGGCTGTCGACGTAGTCTTCCTTCCTCCTTTTCGGAGCCTGATAATCGTAGCTGGGGGCGATAGGCGCTTGCTGGGTCGACTCTGTCTCTGCCTGATAACCTCTCTTGTTGCTCATCATCCCTCTCGCTTCCTTGCGCAACCTGAGTCTGACACCCTGATCGGAGAACGCCCGCGAGAGGTACGTCGACTCGTCGAGACCTTTGAAGTCCTTGGGCAGTACGACCTTGAACTTGTCGCTTGAAATCGAGTAGAGAGATTGAAACTCGCCTTGTAAGGGCAGAAACTCGTACATGGTGAAGTGTAGTCTGTAGCTGCCCTGAATCTTGACAGAGATATCGCCAAAGACGAAGAATCCGCCGTCCTTGTTGTCAATATCCTTGAGTCTATGTAGGGAGGAGACCAGAGTGCCTGCCAACGAGTCGTTTGGGGTGAATTCGACGGGTTCATCTCTATCTGGTTTGTATAAAGATACACTGACGAAGATGTAGGGGTTCTGTAAAAAGGTATTCGAAGGATCGGCCCCGTTAGTAAGCTTCAGCTCTACGATCGGTGGTGGATCCACGGGCTTCCGAAACTTCTCCTTGCCCTTGACAGTGACGAGCGCCTCGATAGGCTGTTGGCGGACTTGCAAGTAGCAGGTTGACGGACGTAGATGTTCGGGGCCAGGATTAGCGGCTGGTTGCGAAACATGCATAGTCTGCTGGTAGTTCAAAGGGC